ATTTTTCCCCTCCCTCTCCCCCGTCGCACGGAGTTCGATTAATTTTAGACGGTTACATGTATGTAAAGTCGCGATCGAAAGGAAATCGTACGTATTGGGACTGTAAAAAAGTTCGGTGCAAGGAATGCAAAGCCCGAGCCATCACAACTGTGAGTGCACAAAATGAAGTTGTAGTTTTGAAGAGTCCTGATGGTTGATATCCCGCAATGTCTGTTCACGCGCATCCACCTAATCGAAAATTATCAAATTTTGGATTATTTGAAAGCTGTTGGACAGACCATTATATTATAAAATTGATGTAAATAAATTAAGTATAAAATTATATAAAAATAAATTATATATAAATAAAATTTTTCGGGAGTTTGTTAAAATAATAGGTTCGGGGACATGATTTTCGGGGAATAATTGATTCGGGGGATTGTTCATTCGGGGAGACGCTTTCGGGGGAATGATCGGGAACAACATTTTGTAGCTGCAGCTGAATGTCACTATATTGATGAAAATAACACAAATACCTATGAAATATAATTTTTTGGTTTATTTTGATATGATTTGATACGAATAAAACGGTACCTAATAAATTATAAATAAGAGATATTTTTTGATGTTTTTAATTTCACCGCTGTGCTAATAACTAAATATTTTTATTGAACGAGACGAGAATCAATATCAAATCTGATCAAATAAAAAATCAATGATTTTTTTATTTGTTACTAGTTCAATATTTCATTGCTTTTTTCAATTCTACTACTATTCACATACAGTAAGTTCCCGACGGAGTGTTTAACACTCTAACACATGAAGTGTTAGAAGGCATGAAAGAAGTGGAAAATCCATCTAAAATATATAAAAAAAGTAAGCGTGCATTCGGACAGACCTTCCGAAGTAAGCGGTCGAGGGACAACGAGCAGACTTATGTATTATCCAATTTCACTAGATTAATACAGTAAACCCCGATTTTTGTGTAGATGGCAGTGTCTGCTCGTCATAGTCATACTGATGGGCCCGTCGAGTAGTCATAAAAGAAAACGTTCGAACATCATTATCATTTACTCTTAGCTTTCGAGCAGTAAACATCTCCAGCTAACTACAACTAACCTCCTCTCTTGCAAGAGTCAACTCATGTCGCTGGAGATGTTTACTGCTCTAAAGCTATCGATACGCATCGAGTAGTAGCGCAACAGTCGCGCTCGTATGTTCGGCAAAGCATCAAAGAGTACACAAAATCGTAGCGACACGAGAATGTTCTTGGTGGCTTTTTACACCAAGAACATTCTCGTGTCGCTGCGATTTTGTGTACTCTTTGATGCTTTGCGGAGCATACGAGCGCGACTGTTGCGCTACTATTCGATGCGTCGCTTTTAACGTGGTGGGGGCGCGAGTGGGCGGATTCAACACAAATTCACCTTGGGGTTCATGAATTATAATTTAATGCATGTAAATAATTTTCTTATCAGATTCAGTAGTAATAAAGTAAGTGATTTTAAAATATCAGATACTTTTTATTTATCCATTTCACATCTAAATATGAATCTTGTTTTACTAATGAAGCCCACTATTTATCTATTTACATGACTAATAAATGAAAAAACGATATGACGATAACAATTTGTATTTATTTATTATTAGTATCTTGTTTGCTTGATACATAATTGTTTTGGTAACACTGCGACACAAAATTTCAACTTTATAAATAGAATTTTTTGAATCACGTTTTTCTTGAGTTCAATAGATCTTTTGTTAGACTTATCATCAACAAAAACAACGAAAAACAAAAACAAGCACATGCATGGTTTTCAAATGCGGGAGCTTTCTGTTTTTAACCAGCATCGAGTTACGAAGTTCGACGTAATATAAATCCAGATATTCTCTAGAAGACTAAAATGATTATAATCACGTTACTATTAAAAAATAATCAATTCTGACAACACTCAAAGTACGTAACACCCTCGCTCTACCTATTCTCCACAATATTTTTCTGACATTACATTCATTTTATTTTTTGGATATGTTTCATATAGACAACCGAACAATGGTCGTGGTATATCCAGTCTTGGCTATGTTCTTGAGAATGCAACAACATTTGAACTTCTCAATATTCTTATTGAAGTAACGACATGAGTCTGCAAACGTAATGACAACGATTACATCGAAGAGTTTCATGATAAACAAGAGCTTAAATTTCACTCACAGTTTTTTTGTCACGTGTATTTCAAGTTAATACGTGGAGGAAACAAGTTTCGGTGCAGGTATTATTATTACGAATTTCTGCAGCCTACAGCAGTTTGCGTGATTAAAAGCAAAGCACTTGAGAATTACGATGAATGAGCGAATAAAGCGAATCACGTACAGGGTTTTCAATCAAAAAATTTCTCTGAAAATTATTTCACTATTTTCTACAGTTCATTCAGTCCGAGTTCCTAGTTCCATAGTCATTGTGATCAAAGCATGCCGTCTGCTGAGCACTCGGACTGAACCGCAGAAAATTGTGAAATAATTTTTAGAGACTCTGGGAAAGATTTTTCGATCGGAAACCGTGATCACGTTTTACGGTATATGTAATATCAATTGAGCGTTTCAACGAACATATTTTTTCGCATCAGGAAAAGATCAGTTGCTTAAAAATTTGGCACTCGATATGTAAGAAATTACTACGAGTACGTTTAAGAAGAGTTTATTTTTACGGAGCCGAAACGGAGGAATAGGAATGCATGCTGTCATTGATCTCATAAATACAGATGATCTCATCGCGATTGATTAAATACCAGTCTAATGCCAGAGACATCCCGCGTTTGGTACTTAATCTTGTGCTGTAATGAATTTTAAAACTAACGATAATTTTTTATGATTAAATAAAATTCCAGACTCCTTATATAAATTCTTCTCGTTTCAACCCTTAAAAATTATATAACGTGAATTTGCGTAGTAAAAGAAATATAGCGTGCTCGTTAGTTAGGGCACAGAAGATATAAGTTAGCCAATGTGGAAGTAAGCAAAAGCGTATAGATATAATTTGCAGCATTGATTATTACCCCACGTTTCTCGTAAAAAAGAACGAAAAGAATAACTCCCTAACAACATCAAGCACTATAAGCAGAAACGCCCAACAAATTATACTTCTGGTAAAAAGTCAATAGCATTGTACATGAGCTGCTTACTAAAATAATGTAATGCTTATAAAAATGGTTTAACAGATCGTAGATTTTTGGACTTTGATAAACTAAGTTTGGATGACATCAACATGACGAATTATTCTTTATTTCTGTTATGAGCATCAAATGTATTTTGATATTGTATTAATCAGCCGGGAAGATGTTAATAAAAGCGTGAATCTGAATTGACTGAAAATGTCGGTCACACTTCGTTGCAGTGAATTGGTAAGCGCAAAACGTATGACGTTAAACATGATAGCGTACAGGACATGCTCACATAAACAGTGCACAATCATTATACTTACACGTGTAACATAGGGGTTGAACTTGGCACCGTCATTTTACTCATTATTGTGTATGTAAATTCTACGGAATATTTGTGCAAAGTCTCGTGTCATGAATGCTGCAGCAATTCGAGCGCCCAGTTTTCTTGCTTGTATGTAACTTGAATAAATGACATGTGAATGTGATGCTAAACCAACATTTTTCTCTTTAATTTTAATATAGATTTTAAAAGTTTAATTTGAAATACAAGAAATTTTTTTGTTTAATGAGAAATTTATTAACATACATTATCATTTAAAACAATTATATTAAGGAAGGCTACAAATATAAAATTTTTACGCATATTGAACAAGTTTAAAAATAAAAAAGTCGTTTTAGCTCTGCTCTCCATGTATTATGTTAGATTACATTGAAGTAATAGATAATTAGACAATAGCAATGGATATGTTACTTGAATTTCTTATACGGTTGGTCACTAATAGCCGATAAAATTAAGTAGCGGCATAATTTACGTCTGTTGACCGGGACGCGTGCCGTACTGCAGATTAGGTTTTATAATAATCAACTGCTAATTTATTCTTGTTATGAGTAATATAAATCAATACAAATTATAAAAAACAGATATCAACGATTTGAATATCTTAGGTTAAGAAAGTTTAATTTATTCAATTATTAATTTTTTTTTTATTTATTCACTTTGTACTGACTCTGTTTTGTGAACATGCAATTTTATTATAAATTGATTCACTATACCGAGATAGGGGAAATTCGTAAAAGACTTAGAGTTTTTAGTTTAGATTTGTGTGCATTTTCTATAGCAGTGCATTACACATGTAAGCTGAGTCGACAATGCAAAATTGGATACGTACCAAAAAATTAATTAGTGGCATATATAGGTGATATAAGTTTTTTGATAAAAATCATAACTTTAATAATTTGCATTTTATAACATCTTATAATAAATGATTCATGTAAAATAATTTACATGAAAAGCTGCTACAATAACAGTTGCAATTACAATATCGAGATGCGTTTAACATTTACACTCATTTTCTACACTTTAAAGCCTAACGTTAGATATTAAAATGACTTATATTGAAAATATATTATAAAAAATCACTATATTTTCATAAATAATTACAAAAATATGTTTTAATATTAATATTGTTACGATAGTACCACTTTATAAAAATTATTTTTGTAATTATTTTTTCAGATGTAGCACATGGTATGAATGAAATACTTTTTTCTCAACAGTCTTCCATATATTAGGCTGTGCGAGGATCGACAAATTCTTGATGTACGCATCGTAACGCAAATCACAAGAAAGAATATATTAATTTGTCATGTCGTTTCTGCTTCGCAGAAAATATATTCAAAAATGCATTACCGATAATAGCTTCACACAAAAATAGAATACTGTTACTGCTACGAATTGACCATTAGCTTAATTTCAAAATGTATATGCCAACAAACGATTTTAAAAAGTTTCCGCACTACCGAATCGTTAGCACCTAAGCAATGACAGATATTTAACCAACACCTACCTTAACTCTTCACGAAGTATCGCTACGAGGTCGAACTAGTCATGAATGCGCAGACACCTTAGTTGCACGCGGTTGCGCGGCCGTCACCTTCTCGACCAGTCATCAAGTGGCTAGTTAGCTGGTTGGTTGGAAAACTCGTCTTAATCAGAGTAAAGAAAGCTTGGAACCAAGTAGATTCCATCAATCTGTAAAAATTAAAAACAAAAACAATCAAGAACGTTTACATCCAGCTTATTTTTAATAATTTTTAAAGAGTCAATTCGTTAAACAGCTTTCGTTAAATCCTTAAGTCTTTACATTTTTTAATCAAAAAATCAAAAGTAGGAACAATCGCGATGAATCGCATGATGAAATTTGCTATCGCTGGTCCATGTTTGTTGATATTTGCAATACTTTTTGGATTTGTGGCCTTTCCTAAGCTTTTAAAGGGTGGAATTCATAAAGTAAGTGCATGAATTATAATGTATTTATATATTTTCATTATTTTAAAGACTTACTACATGTTTAAATCATTGTGTTTGAAAAATTTAAATTGTTTCATAAACATTTTGTAAACCATACTATGAATATTCATAAAAGTTACAATGTTATCAACTCAACCTATTCAATTTCCATAAAGAATTTCTACGTTAAACATTTTTTTTCCGTTCCAAATTTGGTTGGCCTCGCTATTTCGTATTCGTGTATATTATTAGCGAAATGTCACTTCCCGGATACGTGGCTTTTAACGTAGATGCGGCAATTGATTAATTTTCGTAGCGAAAACAAAGGTGTCGATGCATAACACGAACAAGCGTCATAATAAGGCTATAGACTCAATGTTACTTGCAGTATTTCTACTAAGCTGTACTGCAGCGCTATAAGCTCGATGAACATTGTCGCTATACGTTCAAAATACTCTGCATAATATATGAAAATTATTCTTTTTAATTTCGTGGGTGCCGTTATTCAGATAAAAATGGAGCGTTGAATTATATGTCAATAAGTACTGAATATTTCATAGATTTACATGAACATCATTTTTTTATGATTACTTTTTTTAATATGCTAAAGCAATAATATTCTGCAAGTAGTACGTTTGTTATGAATTTTCAACCTGGCACGATATAATATACACAATTAATATAAATGATCACACATTCAACATAAATTGCTTTCATCTCTTCAACTTTTGTTAATAAAATCTACGAATTCATTTAGTAAGTGTAAAATATGCCGAGATAATCAAAAAGCTGGCATCGTAATAATATATATCAATCTACAGTAGCAAAAAATACATATTTTTTATAAACTACAATTAAATAATTTTAGTAAACAAATAATAAACAATTTCCACTTGTATTCATAAATGACATTACCGATGAATTTCATAGATGGTAAATTTGAAACCTGGAACTGATGTACGAGCATTGTGGAGTAAAATTCCATTTGAAATCGATTTCAAAATTTATTTATTTAACGTAACAAATCCAAATGAAATAAAAAATGGTGCAAAACCTATAGTTAACGAAGTTGGACCATACTTTTTCGAGTACGTTTATGCAGAATTTTTGTTTCTTATTGTGTGTACTGAAGATGAGAGTATTATAATACGTGCATTAAAATGTCTACAGAGAGTGGCATGAAAAGAACGATCTGATCGACAACGATGACGACGATACCGTTATTTACTCCCCAAAAAATACATTTTATTTCAACCCAGGAAAAAGTAATGGGCTTACTGGTGAGGAGGAACTTATGCTTCCACATATATTTATTTTAGCCATGGTATTTGCCACTATGAGAGAAAAACCTTCAGCGGCACCTTTAATAAGTAAGTACTTAATTTTTATGACTGAGTTAAAAAACTTATTTATTGTTTATTTCAAGATAAGGCAATTAATAGTATTTTCAAGAATCCCGAAAATGTATTTATCAAAGCGAAGGCTATGGATTTAATGTTCCGAGGTTTGCCCATCGATTGCTCTGTAACTGACACTGCTGGATCAGCTGTTTGTAGCTTGTTGAAGGCCAATACGGACGATCTCATTGTCGATGATCCAGATCACTTTCGATTTGCACTTCTTGGAGCGGTTTGTATGAAGTCTTACAGTAATCGGTACATCGTTACACACCATTAAATTTTTAGAAAAACGGCACAACGAGCAAAAATCGCATAAAGGTATTGCGAGGAGTTAAAAAACTAACTGATATCGGTGTTGTAACTGAATTAAATGGCAAGAAAAAAATGACCGTCTGGAATGACAGTAAGTGCGATGCTTATCAAGGCACTGACGGCTATGTATTTCATCCGTACCTTTACGCCGATGAAGACATTGTTTCATTCGCTCCTGATTTGTGCCGCAGCATAGCCGCTTATACCGAATCTACTTTTAAGAAAAAGGGTATGTGAAAATTCTCACGTTTTGAATTTCACTAATATCCTGTTCATATTGTTTAGGACTGCTTGTTAATCGATATACTGCGTGGCTGGGAGATCCTGCTCAACATCCCGAGCAAAAGTGTTATTGTCCAACACCAGGTTGTCTCAAAGCAGGCATGATGGATCTTCATAAATGCGTCGGCGTGCCGCTTGTAGCCTCGCATCCTCATTTTTTCAGAGGTGACAAAGAATATTTGCAAATGGTCGATGGACTTAGTCCTAACAAGGTAATGCTCTTCAATCGATATATAATTTGTATCCATTTTTTCATTGCAATTCAACGTTTTAAAGGAAAATCATATGATATATATCGATTTCGAACCCTTCTCTGGAACACCTTTGGAAGCACGAAAACGATTGCAATTCAACATCATGATACATAAAGTTGAAAAAGTCAAAATGATGAAAAATTTCCCCGAGGCTATGTTACCTCTATTTTGGGTAGAAGAAGGTCTTGTTATACCCAACGACTTCGTGAAGCAAGTTAAAATGCTGCATATGGTCGTTAAAGTGATGAAGTAAATATAAAAATTATATCGAACGAATTATATTTAAATGCTTTAATATAATGTATTTAATAATTTTCTAGAGTACTAACGTGGATAAAGATATTGGCTGGATTAGGAATGATTGGTTATGCTGGATTTTTGTACTATAAATCAACACTTTCGAAAACATCTGAAGTAACAAAACCGCCAAAATATCGAAATGGTAATTCTCAAATGTCGACAGTTGATACTAAGAATTTACATTCTCAAATGTTACCACCTATTGATTGAGCAATGTGGAGACATTTAAAAGTTTAAATACAATTTCATACTTTTATCTTGCGTTTATTTAATTATTAACATATATTTATTAAATTTCTTATATTAAAATATTTAATTAATCGGAAATCGTTAGTTAGAAGTTGAGAACGTTGGAAACAAGTAGAGAATATATAAAATACGTAAAGTATTATTTGGAATATCTAAAGTAAAATGGAGAGAGGTAGTATGACTTATAATTGACTATTGCAAATAGATTTTAGTTTATTTTCGAAGCATAATAAGTGTGATATATGTAAATTTACTAGAAGAGAATTCACTGTTCTTAAAATTAGTCTGCAATGTAGAAACTCGTTCTTAACTATAATGTTGAATGGTGAAGATTTGTAGTACTATATATTGGAAGATAATATAAGTACTCTTTTTATTGTATACAGCATAATTACTATTAATTCATAAGTCTTAAATTTGTAATCACAAAATTTGTATTCAATAAAATTTCCAATATACGTTTGATCTTTTGAAAATTCACCTTCCTTCTTTTCATATTAACATTCTATTTTTACCAAAGCAAAAGAATAGAAACTGTGCTGAAAGAGGCGTTATTGTGTCAACATTGCTAAGTGATCAAGTAGAGAGGTTTAGACTCATGGCCACTTTCAACCCATATTACATAGACCACGCGAAGTATATAAAGAACAAAAACTTGCATATATACAGATACGATGTGCAGAAATGCTTAAAAAATAAAAAAATAATCACTATTGTGCCTAATGGCATTATTTATTCTTTTTTTTTCAATGTATACAAACTTAAAATATTGATATTGTAGATGTATTTTGCGATTTTTTTTAATAGTTTAAGGATTCATAAAATTTTTTTTTTAAGGATTCATAAAATTTTTATTAATTTGGAAGTTAAATTCTAAATTAGTTTATTCAACACTACTATGAATATAACTTGTGACTGACTACAGTTTGTAGGAGATCAATAACACTCTTTCTGTCTATGTCTACCTATTGTGTGAAAGAGATGTAACATAGAAAAAGTATAATAATAGACCCTTTGATTTGAATACTTACAAAGTAACTTTTTCATTGGTGTATGAAGGAAAATCTACAATTAATATTTACTAACCACCAATTAAAGACTGTTCAAGCAATTTATAGTATAAAGTACTTTTTCCATATTTGCATATTATTTAATAATTGTTTATATTATCGTGAACCAACTTTGTGCAGATATTTATTATCAAGGAAACTTGTATGCAAATTTATAAAACAGGTATATAGGGTAAAACTAAATTATTAAGAATCTATCTACTTGTCCCTCAATGTTCATTAATCCAGGGTCACAAGAGTCGCCAATGCGCAGACACGAAAGTTTAACACAGTCACGTACTCGCAAGTTCATATTTAGTCACTAACTAGTTTGGTTGAAAGAAAGAAGTTTCACTTTTTGAAGTAGTTAATCTTAATATTATAAATAATATTATAGATGTCATTTACAAAAGTTCAAAAATAATACAGTTGATTTTAATAAGCAATAAAAAAGTTTGAACTGCATTGTAATGTGTATCAATTTTATTTAAATAACGTACAATTATTTATATATTAAACAGTTGTATATATGCAAGGTGTATATGTTGATTACATGGACTTCGATTTATGAAGTAAGTTATTTATACGAATTTTTTCAATAGTTTGTAGTAAAAATGCTTAAAATATATAATTTTTCATCTTACATTTTTTTAGAAAAAAACAGAGATATTGGATGCATAAGAAAATTTCTTTAAAATTTATAAAACATTCATACTTATATTTCTTTATATTTGTTAAGGAATAAACACAAATGTTTCAATTTTCTACGATTAAAATTTTATAAAGTAAATACACTTTTATTTGACATTTCACTCGCTTGTAATATAATTATATTCAATATTGTGTTGAATAGAAAACTTGGTAGGCAGATGATGCATAGCTTTTCTGCTTTCAGGCATATATTTTGACCGATCGATCACGTATATACTGCTAAGAGGCAATAAGTTTTCTGGCTTAGCGACGAATGTATGAGGGTCTATCATTCCTGCCCTAAGATTATGGCAGCAGTGATAGACCCACGTACATTCGTTTGCACTTTCTCCATTACTAACTTCGCACTCCGTTCACTGAAATTTGTCTGAAAAGAGGTAATAGTTCTGCTACAGCAAGGTGACTATTTTCGTTTAATATATTTTAGTAAAAATCTGTATCTTAGCTATATTTTGACAGGTGCTGTATTCTACTGATAGTTCCTTCCTATTTGATGATAATTATTGTAAATAAGAGGCAGCAGAACCTTGAAAATAATTTACAGGTAAGGTACGATATTAATAACATTCGCGTTTATAATTTACATTTCTTGCAAAATAAAAAATCATATTTATTTGTAATAGTCCACTTAAATTATCTAATGATATTCTATTCTATAAATAAGCGAAATATATTATACATTCGAATTAGTAGTTATAATGTCGGTATATGAAAATTGGAATTTCACAGTCCCGTCGATTTTAGCAATGTTAAAAAAAATGTTTTGTTTATTACTTGCTTGAATCATTTATAAGCTAGAAAATATAACAGTGAAAGTTAGTGTAAATAAAATCGAAAATTATCAATATAAATTAATAATTTTCAATTTTATTATATGCAATATCTTAAAATTAATTAACTAATACATTTTAAATTTCAATGTAACATTCAGCTTGTAATTTTAATCATGAGATAAACTAATTAAGGCTATAAAACTTCAAGTTAAGTTAAAAAGTATACTTAAACAAGACCGGGTAAAAACTAGAATCTAATTTTTACATTTGTATACTTATACTCGTATACTAACGCGAGATAAGTAATTTCAGTCTAATGTGGACGTTTACGCCCGACCGAAACAAAGATGAAGAGGCTACACGAGACTGAAATCACTTTCTTGTTCAGGCATATCACTTTATTTTTCGATACGACGTGTGTGGAACGAAATTTTAAACATGCTTAATTCTTCGAGCATGCATAGTCGAATCCTCAAATACGGAGTGTCGAGAAAGTTCTCACAACCTCTGTACATTAGCAGAATATATGCCAAGACGAAAAGAATAAATAAAAAAATTAATTTCAAACTTATATCCAGCAAATTGATGGTTAAACAATAATCTGCATTTTATCGCGTTTATCATTCAAATATCTATAAATTTCACTTTGTTAGTATAAATTGTTTTTAGTAAAAAGAGTTTCATCAAGTTATTAATGTGTTTGAATAAACTTAAGTAAGCCATTCTCTACGGGTAACAAAACAAAAATACAAGGGGGCTGGGTTGGGCGGTAACGTATCAATGTTGCTTAGTAACAGAGTCAAGGGGTGTTGACTCATGACGGATCAATGTCTATAGAATACGAAACACTATAGCTACAGCAATAGTAATTGAGGTTTTTAAAATCATGCGAATCAAGCTATAATCTAACAAACCAATTTATTGAATACCATAGTACACACACATACACACACACGCGCGTGCGCACGCACATACACATGCTGTGTATGCTCATGAAAGATTACTGCAGATTTTCGTAGACGATTGCACGTTACAAAAGTTTATCAATATAGTTGGCACGAATTGAGTCATTTAATCAGACTAACTTCAAAATAAAAACCAATAGATACCTTGATAAAAAAATTAAGTTAACTTTACTCTATGTAAAATTTTAACTTTGAAAAAAACAAAGTAGGCAGTAAAAGACGTAAATCTACACGATAAAATATTAATCAATAATTTCAGCTGTATTCGGTTATATAAAATAATGAAAAATTAAAAATGAAATGCATTAATTACAACCGTTAACGTCTATCGAAGTATGTTATTTACATCATAAAGGATATGATTATAAAAAACTATAATGCTTTTAAAACTTATATTACATTTTTTTATGTTGGGTTTGAAACTTTTTAATCATTTTTTAACACAGAACATTGTACGATAACAACATAAAATTTCATTGATAACATTTTAAAATCATGTGTATATAACTGCATATTTATTTACCAATAAATAATATTGTCGGTTATATCTCATTTCAAATCAGAAAGATTTAATGTATACTAAATTATCTCATTTTCTACTTTGTCAATAAAAATTTTGATTTATATTCGTGCATTAAAATGAATAAGAAAAAAAGAAGAAAAAGATGAACGTGCGAACGAACGTCCTTATATTGAAGATTAAAAAAATCTTTTTATTGAAGATTAAAAAATATAGCAACGCATCTAGCTGATACGACGATATTCTAACTTACGTTTGCTATTGTTCCGTCGATGTTAATTTCAGGGTTGCGTAAATTGTTGATGCGCATACCCTGGGTCACGACACGCAATTGCGCAGTGACTCGTAGTTGTTCAACAGATTGCTTGTCTGTTGGAGCTGTCCACGTATTCATTTACTTTTATTGTACTTGTAGATAAAATCAAGATAAAACAAGTACATATTAGTAATTTTAAAAGTTTATAAGAAAGTAGTAACAAAGTTTGTATATAAAACTTCATAGAAAGCAGTTCAATATATTCAGAAGTCGGCAAAATATCGTACACTTACTGATTAGTTTGATAAATTAATGAAATAGCCGAAAATAAATTTTGCAAAAATGAATCGTATAAAAAAATTCGCTTATTTGGGAGGTGGCTTATTTATGTTCGGTGTCTTTTTTGGATTTATGATATTTCCCAAAATCTTAAAGATTGAAATCCACAAAGTAAGTAAATTATTATTCCTGTAAACACTTTCACAATTTATGAAAAGGAAATTATTTATGTGAATAAGTTTTGAAATGTCTCTTAAAAAATCAAATATAATATTAATTAATAAATATAAATATTATTATGTTATTATTAATAAATTATTATACTTTTAATAATAAGTATGGCAATATTTAAAAATACTTGTTTTATGAAGAATCCTTAAATGTTACATCTACGCACGTAACAAATTAAACGATTAAAATTAGAAAAACGTAAGCTATAATTTCATACTATGTTTATAACTTAATAAATTAAAAATTTATATAAACTATTTGAGAAGTTTAACATACTACGCTATTTGCATTTGCAAGGTTTTTTGACGTACGTAATGCCAGTATAAATCATTTCGTGTCAAATATGTATGAAGTGCTACTACATTCCACGGTTAATTTTTGATAAAGCTTGCACAGATGTGCGTTAGCATTGATTTGGTTTGTACTCTATAAGTAAGAGTCTCGAGCAGACTATGAAGTGCATTCTATTAACATACGAGAGAGGAGGGGAGGAGAGGACAAAGAAAGAGAATGCTCGTATATTTTTTTGTAATTTTATATAAATGCTCAAGTTTTATTATTATTTTATACTCATAAAAAAATCAAATTGATTCAATACCATTTAAAGTTATTTTCGATGATAATTTAATTACTCATTCAAAATTATGTTACAAATACGGTCTTTACTTTTTTATGGATTATTTTTTTCATCAATTTACAAATAATAACAATCAACTCCTATTTTCGATACATTTTACAGCAAGTAAATTTGAAACCTGGAACTGATGTTCGAGACGTGTGGAGCAAGATTCCCTTTGCACTTGATTTTAGAGTTTATTTATTCAATGTAACAAATCCAGATGGAATTAAAAACGGTGAAAAGCCTATTCTTCGTCAAGTTGGCCCATATTACTTCGAGTACACTAATGAATACAATTAATTTATATTCCTTGATTTCTATTTTTATCTCAAATAATCTAATTTTTCTTTAATAGAGAATGGCATGAAAAGGATAAATTAATTGACTCTAATAAAGACGACACAGTCGAGTATTCAACGAAAAATACATACATTTTCAAGGCAGAAAAAAGTCACGGACTCACTGGTGAGGAAGAACTTGTGCTTCCTCATATTTTTATTTTGTCGTTAGTAATGGCCGCTGTACGAGAAAGACCTTCGGCAATGCCTATCATTAGTAAGTTGTAAATACACTTTCGACAAGAATTATACTATAAAACATACGAGAAAAGTTAAGTAGTAATCCATATGCCAATATTAATTTGCAGATAAGGCGGTTAATAGTATGTTCAAAAATTCTGACAATGTTTTTGTCAAAACAAAAGCTATGGATTTGATATTTAGAGGATTGCCAGTTGACTGTTCTGTAACTGATACCGCCGCAACTGCTGTCTGCAACGTAGTAAGAGAAAACTCCGATGCATTTATTGTAGAAGACGAAAATCATTTTAAATTTTCTCTTCTTGGAACGGTTCGTTTCGCCGAATTGCGATTTATAAAAATAAAGCTGTGACATGTAATCGATAAAATTTTAGAAAAACGGCACAACAAGTAAAGATCGCACAAAAGTTCTGCGAGGAGTAAAAAAACAAGCTGATATCGGCAGGGTCATCGAATTCAATGGAAAGACGAAAATATCGAAATGGAATGATACATTCTGTGATAGTTTTAATGGCACCGATAGCTACATATTTCGTCCATACCTATATAAGGACGATGATATTGTAACATATGCTCCTCCTATTTGTCGCAGTTTGAGTGCTTACTATGAAAAAGAAACTAAGGTGTTGGGTAAGTACGATTGAGACAAAAAAGATCCATTCTGATATCAATCTCTTAATATTTCCAATAGGTATACACACTAATCGTTACACTGTATGGTTGGGAGATTCAAGCACTATTCCACAGCAAAAATGTTATTGTCCAGCAAGTGGTTGTCTCAAGGCAGGAGTGATGGACCTCCACAAATGCATTGGTGTTCCACTTGTAGCTTCACACCCACACTTATGGAGAGCTCATAATTCGTATTTGAAGATGGTCGACGGTCTTAACCCAACTTATGTAATGTTTATTCAGTTTAACCCATTAAGGAAGGGACGGACACTTTTTCGTGTCCAACTTCAAGCTACCACCAAGCCAATAATTTAATTGCAAAAAAATTCGCGAACCACCGTTTCCTATGTTTTTAAGTATGCTCTTTCCGATTATGACACTTAATTTTTTCTAAAATGAGTTTTTTCATGTACAATGTGAAAATTAAAAAAAAAAGCACTGATTTTTTGGAAAAAAAAATTTTTGTGATCGAAATTTGTTTGCCTTTTGATTTTTTTATGGGCTTAAAATTCATAAAAAAGGTGTCCATGATACTTTAACTAAAAAATATCGGCCATACGAAAACCCAAATATATATATTTTTTAATAAATTTGCGTAAATAAACAAAAATTTCATTCACTAACTTCACCGATTTTTATCTCGAAAACTATCGACTTTCATGAAAAGTTTATAAGAACAAAAAATGCTTAGAATCAGTCAAGGAACACGTCTGAATTTTTTCAGATTTTTGGGGACCATTTTTGGTTTTTTTTGAAAATAGACATTTTTGAAAAAATAGACATTTTTTCGAAAATAGACATTTTTGAAAAAACCAAAAATGGTCCCCAAAAATCTGAAAAAAGTCAGACGTATTCCTTGACTGATTCTAAGCATTTTTTGTTCTTATAAACTTTTCATGAAAGTCGATAGTTTTCGAGAAAAAAATTATCTAAGTTTGAAAAAGCGTTCTATAGCCGGCTAATAACACTACCGTTGCCTAGCTCTTACCACGGGGAGGTAAACGCATAATCAAGAGCCTCGTTTTTTTTGTGTTTTTTTTTTGTTTTAAAATTTTTTTTTTTGTTTTTAATTTATGTTTTTTTTTTCTTTTCTGTTCATTTTTTATGTTTTTCTTGTTCATTTTCTTTTAATTTTTTTTGTTTTGTTCATGACGTGTGAAAAGTAAGAAAGCAGGACGAACACAAGTAAATTTCACAGTTTTTGCACATTTTTTTTGTCCTTGCGTTACATTTCTCAAAATTTTGACAATATCCTTTCTTTGCAACATGTACGCTTTCGTGCTTCTTTGATTTAGCTAGATAGGATTTTGCAATTTCCAAGGCGATCGATTTTGTTCCTACTTTATCATCATGAACTAAATTTCGAAGAATTGACGCATTAGTAATTGATGATTGTATCAATCTTAATAATATAGGCCACGTCCACTTTTTCGATCTGAAAGAAGGATATAAATTGCCATTTTCTAAAAAACCAAAAATGGTCCCCAAAAATCTAAAAAAATTCAGACGTATTCCTTGACTGATTCTAAGCATTTTTTGTTCTTATAAACTTTTCATGAAAGTCGATAGTTTTCGAGATAAAAATCGGTGAAGTTATTGAATGAAATTTTTGTTTATTTACGCAAATTTATTAAAACATATATATATATATGGGTTTTCGTAGGGCCGATATTTTTTAGTTAAGGTATCATGGACACCTTTTTTATGAATTTTAAGCCCATAAAAAAATCAAAAGGCGAACAAATTTCGATCACAAAATTTTTTTTTTCCAAAAAATCAGTGCTTTTTTTTTAAATTTTCACATTGTACATGAAAAAACTCATTTTAGAAAAAATTAAGTGTCATAATCGGAAAGAACATACTCCAAAACATAGGAAACGGTGGTTCGCGAATTTTTTTGCAATTAAATTATTGGCTTGGTGGTAGCTTGAAGTTGGACACGAAAAAGTGTCCGTCCCGTCCTTAATGGGTTAAACTTAGAATTAAAGTTAGCTTTGAAAAAAAAGACGCTTTCACAATTTGTAAAATAATTTGATAATATATTAATATATTTAACTTGTTTAAAGGAGGAACATGCAATCCAAATTGATTTTGAGCCATTCTCTGGTACGCCTATAGCAGGAAAGAAACGAATGCAATTTAACATAATGATTCATCCAGTGGAGAAATTCAAAATTATGAAAAACTTTCCTGAAGCTTTATTGCCACTGTTTTGGATCGAGGAAGGATTTCTTCTATCTGATGAATTAGCTAGTCAAGTCAAGTTGCTTCACAGAGTTCGCGGAATTGTGAAGTAAATTACTAAATGAACAAACAATAGATGTATATTCAGAAGCTGATATGTAACTATTTTTATTTTTTAGAACTATGTCAATAATGATGATACTAGGTGGATTAGGCATATCAGGTTATGCTGGATTTATGTTCTATCAAGAGAAACAAACCATGAAAATTGACGTGACGAAAGTAGCATCAAAAAATAAAAATAATAATGTTGCTCTCAGTGTAACGAATGTTGAGAATAATGGTAACACTAACGCAAATAGGTATCCATTGAAAAATAGCAATTTGAAAACAGTCAAAGTACCACCAGCTGTTGATTAATAATATAGCTATTATTTAATTAATCTTCGAAAGAGGATATTGTACGTTAGTTTGCGACGATTTTTTAAAATGTATTATTATTATTATTAGTAGTAGTATTATTTACTATATTATATAGTATTATTAGTATTATTATTAATATTATTATTATTATTAGTATTATTATTATATCTGAATCAAAAAGTGGTATACAAATATCTTGATTACAATTATAAATTAGTACAAATTGTTCTAATTTTTATCGTACGTATTTCAGTGTTTGTTTCAATGTTATTTAGGTCAGTAATTGTTTGAAAATGTGTATGTCACTATAAATTTACATTAAACAGTCACAAATTCTTAGTTATCAATGTATGCTATAAAAACAACATTGTAAATTCGGATATAAACGTATAACCGCATTTGCCGCTGTCAAGCCGCCGACCAACACACGGGGGGGGGGGGGGCAAGCAAGGGGTTATGGTCAATTTTCTACGACAAAACAAAATGAGATGTGTTTTTTCTCAAATTGACCGTTGCTTGTTGCCAGGACCTACTGACATCATTGCTTGGAGTAATTATAGCATCTCATTGACTGAGAGAAAGTGGGAATAAAAACAAACAATTAATACTTGAAATCTACAAGTTGTAACATCGTTAACAAATAGCACGACAGTTATTTGTACGTGAGATTATTTATAGTGTTAACGCGGGTTCTAGTAAACAGTATAACCAACTCATACTAACTGATAACTCAGGGCTGTTAAACAGAAAGTCTATTATGCATTGAACTCACGAAACCACGTGCCACAATTATTTAAGCACATTGTTTGGTAAGAGATGTGACGCTGGTAGAAAGGAAGAAATACGTGCTGTGACACCTTGCAATTATAAATTCAATAAAAATATATTTTTATATGCAACGAATGTAACGTAAACTACGATCGCCTACGAAACTTTTGTAATTAGTCTGTGCATGTATATCTTACGAGACAAATAAAAATAAACCATTTACAAATTTAAAAATAAATGGAACAGTATGAGTCGTCTCTAAATTCTAACAGAACGAATGTCAAAATACAAATAATAATATGTAGTTTATCCTTGAAAAGCTTATATTACTTAAAATTGAAATTAACTCAAATATTGACTTTTCTGACGTTTAAAGTAAATGATTATTGATTATAAGTAGTGTAAAATCAAAGATTCATTTACATTCATTCAAACATGTTTGCGTGTGAACAGTTGTTAAAAGATAAGGAAGAATAGCTTGACTCTCCTTCCAAAATACTCAAATTAAAGTGACATCGAAAGTTTACTTTTTGCGACATCTTCATTCAGTAACGTACCATACGTTAACGTCATACTCTAAGCCGTTAGTTACATTGCTACTTGCTTAAAGTCGTCATCATGATTATGCAAGTAATTTTTACGTTCCAGATTAACAATATTTGAAAAGAAACGTTTTTAAAAATTGTATAATAGACAACAGATATAATTATGAAACATTTCTATGCTTTGACATGCTTAACATTAGTCGATATTAAGATGCAAATAAAGACATTTAATAGAAACTACTACCCTTGAAGATTAGCCCTCTACACTTTCTTTAAAAATCGTCGTATCTTGGCACTTAATAGATATTAAGCCGTGTGAGTAGTAAGTTAAAGTCTACTGTTAAGGGTGAGGTTGAACAGGATAAGATTTTAAACGACAAAGTGAATTAAATCAAGATGAATCCTTTTTTTTTATTACATACACGTGAAAATGAAGGATAACTTTTACAAAGAAAACGACGCCGAATAATAATTTAACACGTAAAAACTGAATCGCCGCGCTCGAACAACAAGCTAGACTGACTTTTTCTTTTATTCCTGTCAGATCGCAGTCCAAAACAGAACTGCTGGCTGTCTTCACGCACGAAGCACGCAAGGGTCTTCCGAGCACCCCCGCCGCCAATCTTTAGCAGGCCCCGCCCCGCTTCAGACCCTGAGAACACGTACTCTTGCACTCCTCCATTTTCTTTCCGCTTCGCTTTCCTTTCTTGCTATGACCGTTTCTCACTCTCTCTCTCTCTCTCTCTCTCTGCTGCCCGACCGATCCACAGGTTAGCTATGTGCTATCCCTTGCCGTTTCTTGTGACCTGCAATGCCTGGGAGTGTTATCTCCCTCGTGAGGTCTATAGCCTTCAAAGATTCGACTCCTCGAAGCTAAAGATGGGTATCACGGCCACGATAACGCTGTAATGCGCTCGTGCACGTCCATACGCAGAGGTAGAGTTGCGAGAGAATAAAAAAACGAGTCAGCACACACTCAACTTATCGCTCAGTCTCGTCTCGTTTGTTTGAGGTTTACAAAGTGCGTACACTTAACGATTAAGTGACATAAAGACTTAAATTTCTAAAGCGCGCGCAAGTTTACATGAATACTCGCCCTACCGTTCGCTCAACTATAACAACTCTCTCTTATTTCTTGAAAATTTTTTCGCTCGCATTACGAATAGGTCCACGGGTGGTCCTCGAGAACAGCCGCGTCTTCCGCGCATATATTCCGAGTCTTTCGCGCATATATCCCGAGTCTTTCGCGCACGCGATTTTCCGAAGTAGGCACTCTTAATAGGCTCCAGCTCTAATCTCGGCATCAGGCCCTGATCTCGGTATCAGGTTTTCTCCGATCGCTTTACACGTGCGTGTGTTTCCCGACCTTTCTTCTTCTTTCGCGTTCTCAATATATACGTTTGTCGAAGTCATTTTATTATTATTGGCCAATCTGTTATCAACACTTGAAATCGATCAGTCAACTGCAAGCTTCAGATATAAATTCTTCCTCCCTACATCTTATTACATAATTTTGTGACAGGGAGAGCGACTGTTGAGATCGCTCGCCCTGTTCATCTCTCTCTCTCTCTCTCTCTCTCTCTCTCTCTCTCTCTCTCTCTCTCTCTTTCGCGTGCCTCCCCCTTTACCGCTGCCACATTGGTCTTGGTTGATTAGAACCAAGTATCAACGCATGAGAAAGCTTTGTTTCAGGTCTGATTCCTGATCGGCGTCGATGGCTGGAGCAGGAGAGACGGGGCGAGTAAGACGAGAGAGTAAGAGAGAAATAGCGTCGCCCGGCATGAGTCGCACATGTATGCGTAGCCGACGGCGCTCGGCCGTTTTTCGAAGACCAATAGGGAGAGGTGGGGAAGATGCCGCGGAAAGCGCAAGGCCGCGAGAGCCTAGCGACAATTAACGAGAATGGAAGGACATTGGTTTACATATCCCTGTCTTCTCTCTCTTAGTTAGCCTTAATCAGGACTATTCGGATTGCCGGTGACGGGAGCCCATCGGCACCTTTCGCGACGAAGCAAATACGCCTTCCGGACTATCCCCTTTCAAATAATTTGTGGCGCGACGTTATTTGGGTTTGTTTCCGACACGCGATTCGCGAAAATTGGGAAGCATAAAACGAACGTTTCACAATTTCATTAAGTGATTTCATGTGTTTAAATAAATAGATCTTCATGTCAAATGTACTTATTTCCTACACAGTCAATTGCCTAATTGGGATTCTTTTTGAACCTCGTGCAGTGACGATGATTTACTTTCTTAATATATTTAGTTAATTTGTAGACACTCGATAATCTTAAATAACCTAGCAGCACATCATGCATTTGTTTTAATTTCGCCTGATAATTTAATAATCATGTATGACAAGTGACATCCCCAGCTTATTATGCGTATATTGAAAATCGATCGTGAAAAACGTTAGTCTAATCTCGAAGGGATCGTCGATAAAGTGCTCTACAGAAGACGTTTTCCAACGACGGTAAATGCGTACATAAGAGGAGGTTACGTCTTATGCGCTTGGCAACGCGCTACCCGCCCGCGTTCTTGACGGCAACACTGTCCAATCGCAGCTACAGAGAACAGGACACCCGAGCGTCGTGGAGCTTACAGACGGGAAGGTGGGGGAAGAGAACATTGGCGGTGTTGCCGTTGAATCCTTTAAATATTTCGCAGACTCCGCAACCTCGTAGTATTCATTGTAAGTGCGCGCGAATATTTAGTTATCTGATCTATATTTACGCCTACGAAGAAGATTTACGAACCCTGATTATAAAAGACGAATACAGCGTGAAGTCCGACACAAGTTAAGCGGCCTGGTTAGGAAAAGACTTGCAGGTAAGCCAGATGCCGAAAACCAACAAACTCCAACTTGACACTTGTCGTGGCGACGAAGTTGAAGGCTTTGAAACCGGATTAGGGAAAGAGTGTCTGCTAACATAGTCACCATCGGGACGGCGTTACCGCTGGAAAACTTTTTTCAGGATCCCTAGAAATCCTATTTAATATAATCCCATTAATATAATAATTTCTAGAGATTATAAAAAATATTTTTCCAGCAGCAACGCTGGTACGGGACCTTGGGCCCGAAGAATTTCGCCATTCATTTTTTGAGTTTCTTGCATAAAAATCCTGTACTGCACTCCGTGCTTTTTACGTACATTACTTTTGAAAACTATCATTTTAGTGAACACGTCATTAAAATAATAGTTTCGTTTATTGGACCAGCTCAACAAAAAATTAAAAATGCTATTAAAAGTTTGTTTATCGGCTTCGTTTGATGTGGACATCCTGCGATAAAATTCGTCTAAAACATGCGCGTGAAATCACTCAGAATTTATTGATATCAAATACATCAGATCGTTTTTATGGTTTAAATTCAAAAGGAACACTCATCACATTGTAGAAATGACAGTAGAAATGACAGAGTTTATGTTAGAGACGGGGGTGTATTCGCGGCTGCTTGCATTTAATAGGAATTGAATTAATTGAATAGGAATATAGGTTAGAAAAGAGAAACGAGAATGAAAAGCCCGAGTTATCGTACGAAGGGTCTTAATTTTTCTACGATAAGTAACGTTTATTATAAGCATATTTTGAATAGCGTAAGTATTATTAATAAATTAATTGTTCTACTTAATTGACCTACATTTTCTTAAAATTGACTGCACAATGCAAATATTGACGATATTTGAATTTAGTCGTATCATAATAGCATGAATTCGTCATTAACTGCCAAATCCTTGAATAATTGATAGTGATTTTACACTAATAGTTGAAAAAAAAATACACGTATTCGAGTCTTGATACGTCAAAATGTCGATATTTTAAACGTTATCATTGTTCTTTATTTATAGATTGATAATAGAGAATATTTTTAAAATCTAAAATCGATTTCTGCCATACTACGTTAAGCTTATTGTTCATTCATTTTTATTTTTTGAATCCTATAGCCTGATATCAGAAAATCGGATCATGAAAATTACAAAACTCTTTTATTTACTGCTTTTATTTAAATAATATTTTATTATATTAAAAAATTACAAAATAAGTACTTTGACATATTACTGTTGGTATCATCAATACCAATTGCTGATTAAATTTTTAATGATGCTATCGAACATTAAAATTAAATTTTACATATATATGCATCAATTTTTATATATTTTCCTTAATCAACATAAAACCTCATTATCATATAAATTTTTTGATCAGCTTGTAAAGTGTAGTCTGTTTCTATTCTTCGTGAGACTATGACTCATTCGTCATAATGAAAGAATCAGCAACGTATATTTGTCCAAACAGTACATTCGAATGTTATACTATGAGAGAGCTTGGTAGCAAAGTATGAGATGAACGAATACACAGTAACACCGCTAAATAAGGTTTTGCACCCTCGCACGCACAATACACACAACCGAAATACTACACACAAGACAATATGAAGTCTTTATCCTCTGTTCACAGGCAAGCCACCGATACTGCCAACGTAGACACTCGTCGACACTTCTAGAAGCCACACTCCCCCCACTTTACCCTCCTCTTTCTCCTCTTTTTCCTCTTCTCCCACCGTCTCCAGAAAGTTACTGGTTGAGACCTGCTCAGCAGTCACTCCACAGCCTCTGCGTCGTCTAGTCAAGCATTTAAATTATATATTGAAATCGACTTAGTTTTTCTACATAGAGTAAAACATCAAGCAAGGAGCATCTTACTGCTTCATGTATCAGAAGCAATCACGAAAGAAAATTCATCTAATATTCATTAATATGAATCTACTTGGAAGATTTATCAACTGGTTGAGCAAGCACAACATAATCAAGGATGCCAAGGAAGCTGGAACTACGCAGGGTGCTGAAAATCCGACTTCATCTGCTGTGATTTCAGCTAAAAATACATGCAACTGTCATGAATATTACATTAATTACATCACGACTATATGCAAAGATCATGCCGCAATTCAGAGAGAAGTAAAACACTTAATAGCTGATATAAAGGAGGAAATATATAAAGACAGGTTGATCAATCAAATTACATTCAATTCAAAGAAAGATGTTTCCAGAAGATTTAGTAACATGAATCGATTGGAATTTCGAAAATTGAATGAATTGATTCAGCACGGCATAATCATTAATTCCGAGCAAACGACGATTAATGAAATCACGCAATTCGCAAACAAGGATGCTGAAAATCTTAGCCCACCTGTTGTGCTTACAACCAAAAGAAAATGCAATTGTCATCAATTGTACATACTTTATCTCGTGACCTTCCGTGAAACTTTAAACGCAAAAATAAGACACGTGAGGCGGTTAAAAGCTTACATAGAGGCGTATATAAACAGAAATATCAGTGGAGATTTGACATTCAATAAAAATAAAAATAAAAATAAGAAGATTATTCCCATAAGATTCATTACAATGAATCTATTTAGAAGATTTTTTGCCAGGTTTCGCAGGCACAATATAATTAATGATCCCAAGCAAACAATGGATTATGTAAATACACAAATCGTAAATGAAGATGCTTTCAATTGTACTTCACCTCATGCGCTTCCAACCAAAACGATATGCGATTGTGATCAAATTTACCAAATTCAGCACGAGATCTTATGCATACATCAAGATGTGACTGTGAAAGATGTGCAACGATTAGAAGATTGTATAATGGACGCGTATAAAAACAGGTGAGTTGACTAGTAAACATTTTACATTCTATAAAAAGATTGCCTGTAACAATAATGATATTGTGGATAGGGAACAAGATATGGACAGCCACTCTTCTTATCAGGATCGAGATCAAATTGATATAATTTCACCAGATTATGTTCCCGAACACCAACAAACGGTGAGAGTATTAAGTTTTATTGTATAGTCCATGCAATAGAGCATTTTTTGCGTACTTTTTTCCGAAAAGCACGAAATTTTTACTGTGGATAGCTGACAATAACATATCTTCATCCAAAGTCTGAAATCGGTGCAGAATATTATTAACCAGCCGTTTGAAAAAAAAAATTTGATCTATTTTCATGTTTTCGCGTAATATCTTTTTTCATAGCAGTTGAATCGAAAAATGGTCTAATGGTTTTTTGTTCGTCTCGGCAAGACCTACAAAAGCATATGTCGCACGTTAATACATGTTAATTAGATAAAAAGTTATTAACACAAAAAGACCAATTGTTTATTTAATAATTACCGTTCAATATTTGATCATAGAGATTTTCCATGTACCTCAATGTAGTTCTTATTACGTAAAGATTATGAGCTTTGAAGCCGCAAGTTCTTATGTTAATTTCAATCTATACAGACGGTTAACAACAAATTAACTGTTTCGTTTTGTCCACAGTCGAACAAAAAACCATTGGACCATTTTTCGATTCAATTGCTAATAAAAAAGATATGCGAAAACATGAAAATAGATCAAATTTTTTTTTTCAAACGGCTGGTTAACAATGTTTTGCACCGATTTCAGACTTTGGATGAAGATATGTTATTACACTCATTGTCAGCTATCCACAGTAAAAATTTCGTGCTTTCCGGAAAAAAATACGCGAAACGCTCTTTTTCGGGCTCTATTGTCTGGACTATGTAATGTCAAGCTCAAACTTCAAGTAGGATTCAAAAGTAATTTTTGTTATGCTTTTATAAATTTTAGAAATTAGTAAGTATTTTTAATGATTTTAGAAATTAGTAAGTATTTTAACAATCTTACTCAAAATTAATTTTAGTAACTATTTACACCAACACTTGAGTATCTAGAAACATAAAATTACAAATACTTTCAATGTTAAATGGCGAAATAATCTTTGGCACAAAATCTTCTGGATAAATTTAATACATATACCAGAATTAAATGATGCAATATCTATATTAACCCATTAAGTCTTGAATGTAGAAATTTTCACAACGATTTTAAACGCATATATTTTCTATAGAAATAAGTTCTGAGAAATGTATAAATAAGCGTATTCGATGTTAAATTTAATGAACTGTCAGAATCTTTGATCAAATTTTTAGAAAAATTTAATTGTGTAAGATTGTTTCTGATTTTTTTAAAGAAAGTATAGTCTTCAAAACAAAATTTTCAAATTTTGAGAAATTTAAAATATCTAAAAAATTCTGGAAAGTTTTCAGCGTATTCTTTAATCAATTATAAGAACGTTTTCTTCAGTTAAATATTTTCTAAAGTCCATCGTTTTTGAATAAAAAATTCTGGAAGTTTTTGACAATTTTTCAGTGTTTTAGCCGCCATAATTTTGCTCATTTTCCTCTTTTTTCAAAATATGAACCATTGCAATTTCAAGTTAAAATCTCGAGAACATAATTTATTTGCTTCAAACATTAAATCTTAAATAATTTCAACGTGAAAAATCAACTCAAAGAACATTTTTTTCAATACTATAGTTTTTTAGAATCAATCGTATACAGTCTTTAACAGTTACATGTCTAATATTTTCGCAGCAGACGTTCAGCAACGAAGTTTTATTACAACGTGAATATTCCATGGAAGAAGAAACAATGGCACAAAATGCTTTCGAGAGAAAAGGATTCAAAGTGGATATTAAAACCTCCCAATAAAAAAAATGTTAAGAAATTGTAAGTCATCACACTATGTTATCAATTATTATTAATCGAAAAAAAAAATTAGTAAAAAGTGGATAAAGTGTGGTAATGCAAATGGTTCTACATGACTGATAATATAAACAAATACGAATTTTCAGAAGGTAATTCGTTCAGTTCTCCGAAGTTGATCGAGGTTCACACGGAAACACGAGACTACATAAATTATTTGGATATCGGATAAATATTCTTCTGAAAAAAAGGAAACAGCAATAACTATATTATTGAGAGATTGATTTTCATAGTAGGCACATTCCAGACTATGACGATCAGCTTTTCAGGGATAGGTTTCGGATTTTCTTGAAGCTTGGTCTACATATTGCATATATGGTACTGTATTTAAGTATGGATTATTAGATCATTATAATAATTATATCAAAAGTTATAAACAATTGAAAATTTTTGACGAAAAATTTTCAAAAATGTATATCTCCGCAACCATTGAAGTTATCAAAACGAATTTTTTTTATTTTACGCATAAAAGAGTGTACTTTAAAGATATTATGCGAACAATACTTTAATATCAATTTTTCCAAAAGTTATTAACATTTTTTTTAAACAATTGCCCATATCTCAAAAAGTGTTATTTTTATTTTCAAAATTCTTTTTTTATTGCATTCCTTGACATTTTATCTTTAAGAATCCGTTTTAAAATTCATCGAGCGATCATTAGATGCGACACAGTGAGCGATAATAGTGGACGCTCACAGGTCCTACGACGCCGATAAGTCGGTAAGTTTGATAGCAGCGCCGACGCGCGGCCGAGCAAGCGTCGTAGAGCCTGTGAGCGTCCACTATTATCGCTCACTGTGTCGCATCTAATGATCGCTCGATGAATTTTAAAACGGATTCTTAAAGATAAAATGTCAAGGAATGCAATAAAAAAAGAATTTTGAAAATAAAAATAACACTTTTTGAGATATGGGCAATTGTTTAAAAAAAATGTTAATAACTTTTGGAAAAATTGATATTAAAGTATTGTTCGCATAACATCTTTAAAGTACACCCTTTTATGCGTAAAATAAAAAAAATTCGTTTCGATAACTTCAATGGTTACGGAGATATAAATTTTTGAAAATTTTTCGTCACAAATTTTCAATTGTTTATAGCTTTTGATATCATTATTATAATGATCTAATAATTCATACTTGAATACAGTACCATATAAGCAATATGTAGACCAAGTTTCAAGAAAATCCGAAACCTACCCCTGAAAAGCTGATCGTCATAGTCTGGAATGTGCCAGTAAGGCCCCGGTCCCATAGGTACGTACGGATGCGGACGGATATGGACGCGAATAGCAACTCTAGTAACATCACTAAAAATATATAGTTCGATTATTTAGTACCAACACTACCGGTAGTGAGCAAAAGTGACTGTTGTTTAAAACTGTAGCGCCGAATGTACCACATTTAATGAACGCCTATCTAACCTTTATATTATTGCAGTCTATAAGATGGCAAATGATAGAGAATTGATAGACTTTCAACTACAATTAGTGGAATTAGGCCTTAATTTTATGGAATTACTTGAATATATGAGAAGAAGAAGAAAATATATATAAATGATATGTATTAATCATCCCAAAAACTTTTTTTACATTAGCATACTCACCAATAAGCAATATTCATGAAAATTTGAAAAGTAAATTGTAGACCTGACATTTGAACATTAAATGTGGTACGTTCGGCGCTACAGTTTTAAACAACAGTCACTTTTACTCACTACCGGTAGTGTTGGTACTAAATAATCGAACTATATATTTTTAGTGATGTTACTACAGTTGCGATTCGCGTCCGTATCCGTCCGGATCCGTACGTACCTATGGGACCGGGGTCTAATGCAGGAGTGTGACTTCCGTCAGATCCTTTTAGATTAAATAAATAGACTACCGTGTATTATATTCCATATTGCCGGAGCAAATGACTGAAGAGTAAATTAGACTGAAGAGTAAATTTTATTTATCTAAATCAATTGCTTAACCCATTAACGCCGAAAAAGCCAAAAGTCTTAACTTTACTTTGCGTTTATTTTTGAAGTACTTAAACATCAAGAATATGTCTAAAAATGACTTACTTTATGTTTTTGGGGACGCTCTACAAGATTCTAAAGTCATAATGATGATTAGATTTCAAGAAAAAAAAATATGCCGACTTGTTTCGAAAAAAGCACTAAAAAATTTGTTGAGAAAAATTTAAAAATCAAATTTTCTATCAAAATAGCATGTTTTTATTCAACAAAAATGAGCACAAGTGGCTTTTTCGGCGTTAATGGGTTAATGGCCGATAAAACTTTAAATATTTCAAATTTTAGAAAGTTGTACAAAAGCAAATTTTATAAAATTGGAAGATTGTTTATACCGTATAGTTTTTCAAAGAATTAAAATATATGTTCATTTATGATGTATTTTGCATAGAAAATGATTAGTTTGGCTATTGTATTCTTATAATAAATATTTATGATATGCGATAAATACCATATTACGTGCATAATGGTGTTTATATTTATATACTTTTATACGTTTTATACTTTTTATGTATATGAAATTACAGTAAATAAGGCATGCTTTTTTCAATTGTGTTTTTGTCTTTTAATTTATTCTTGTTTGTTCAAATTCAAAATAAAAATTTTTTTTAATTGTTTAGTACATTATTTGCAAACCACAAATACTAATTCAATTAATTTCAAACAAATAACTTTTAATATTAAAAGTAATAGTCGATATATGCTTGAAGATAAGAAACATATTGGGTGAATATTTTGCCGGCAGAAGGCACCACTTTCAAGGAATCTGGTGCTTTCTAATTGACACGAGTTCTGTCGGTCAAATAGAAACGATGGTAATCTAAGCTGTTTAGTTAACATAGAAGTAAATGACTTTGCTAAATAATTGAGTTTATTTTGTAAAATTACATATTATATTAATTAAAAAACTTTTTCAACGATTCAACATACTGCTTAATATAGCTTGAACAATGTTAGTAACACTTATTTTTGATATAGTAAATTAAAATTAGATACTTCCATGATAATCAACAAAGTGAAGTTATCAAATACTAAGAATATTCTTTGAAAATAGAGCATTTGCGTTAGATAGTTACATTAAAATGTATTTCAAGCATAAAAATATGTTTTTTAATATTGTTAAATTTTTCATAGTCTAGATTTCATACGTCAGGAAGTAAGTTTTGTAATTTAGATTTAGAAATTAATCATTGTGAACTGAGGCAAAAAAATATAAATTTCTTAGCTTGCTGCAGTTGATAAGTTATCCTTTTATATAAGAGAGATGGATCTGAAAAGGAAGCCAGTTTTTGGTTAATTGAACTATGGCCACGTGGGTTGGGTATGTTGTCTATAAGCAAATCGACGTTAATAAATAGCTCAAGTTATTTTATATCAATTTATTATCCATCGATTGACTGAATAAAGCCATCAAAAAAAGAATAAAACCCTCATTCATTCAACGGTCTAACCTTAAAATAATATGGTAAAATAATCTTAACGCACTTAAATTACATTTATTTTTAGGACGTACAAATTTATTCAATATCTATGCTATGAAGTTTAGCTTCGAATAAATATCGTCAACAGTAAATAGAACCACAAATCGATGTTTGTTTCACATGAAATACTGTGAAGTGACTTGGGTTAATATTGTACAGTAATTTCTTTAAAAAATTTTCTGAAATTCAATTTATAACTGTTATGTTTATACAGTTACGTTAATTGCTGAAAGTGAAAATTTTGAAATTTCGTTTTTAAAAAGTATTGCGCCAAATGAACCGAAACTAAATTTCAGTATTTTAGTTAACAAAATACATCTATTGATATAGGGTATCATACAAAAAGTTTTGAATTATGGACAAATATGTTAAAAAATAAAGAAAAGAAAATTGTCAGGCTCAGGTAACGGTTCGATTTTTTTAGAAATAGAAAAATGAGAAACGAACTTATTGTTAGTGGGGTTCTTATTACCTGTAGGTAAATACCTAAAAATTTGCTACATTAGATTTAAAATAATATAACTAAATCTACGGATTTACTTAATTGGATTTTTATTTACCAGTCAATATCAACGAATGTTAAGCATGTTAAAGCATAGAATTATTTTATGCGGTGTATTTTTTAGAATTTTTAAGTTTGTCTATAAATATTCTTTTAGTTGATTCAAGCACGAAACGTGAATATTAGCATAAATGCAAGATGAGGGCATGTAGAACGCTTGACAATACTAGTGAATCAATTGATTTGAAATATTAATATTTTATTACTGTCTGTTACGTAGAAAATTTTCATTAAGAGTACAATTATGCATCAAGCGCACTATAAATATTCAATTCTAAACTACAAATATATTATTATGCTTTACTCAATTTTTAATAAAAAAAATTACATTTCTCAAATTGTCGCGGAGAAATATAATTTTGATAATGTTGCAGTTTTTTTCGAAAGCATTTTCAATAGATTGGAAAACAACGTTTGCTGTACAAAGTCTATTTCAAAAAATACTCCGTGAAACTAAAGAAACAACTTTCTTGTTAAATTCGAGTGTGAAAGTAACTAAGATTTTCCAGTGATTGAAGAAGCTTAAAGAAAAGAGGGTAACTCAAACGAATATACTGGCGCTCCAGCTTCTTAAAAAAGTGCAAGCGTGAAAAGGGTCAAAAACACTAAGGAGAGGAGTGAAATGGAGGGGACTCGTGGGGTAGAGAAAAGATAAGAAAGGTAAGAAAGATGAGCTCAAAGAAGGCAATAAGACATAGATTACAGCGTAGAGATTAATTTGAAGAGATTTCGTGAGATCCTAATCTGGTTACAATTGCTGCTAGACCTTTAAAAATAACTGGCAGTTAATATTTCTTACTTTTTCAAACTTTGTATCTGCACTAAATTCACAGTACATTCTTTTTTTATGATTGTTGACAAAAATAATTTTTTTACAATTTTTTATTCACTACGACCTTTCAAATCATATAATTACAAGCTACTGAATTAGTAAATAAATTGTCCAACAATTTCACGTTTGCTAAAATAAAAACAGAAATATAACTTACGTTATTTAAAAAAACAGTATATTTAAATCTCTCAATCCCATCTATACAAAATAGTAAGAGAAAAGAAAGTTTGCATTCAAAAGGATCAACATCCAGGCAGAATCAGCTCCAAGCGACGAGCTTGCAACATAAAGAGGACAGCAACTCAACAGATTATCAAAAAAAGAAGAGAAAAAAAAAGAAGAAGCAGCACACTCCATGGACCTGAATCTCTCTTTCTCACCCTGCCTCGCACAATATCCTTAATTCCCCGCATCACGCGGAGCAGAGCAGCTGTCGTAGAAAAATAAGGTATCAATAAGAAAGAGTACAGTTATAACTGCTTCACGCACGTACAGTTGTGAACGTAGCTTGAAGCAAGCTCGCAGCAAGAGAGAGAGAGAGAGAGAGAGAGAGAGTAAGTCGGGGTGGTACGGATCAATACGCGCACGTGGGGCGCTTTTACCCTCGCAGCTTCCTTCATCCCCGCGAACTATAGAGCCACCCCTCGAGGGAGGAGGCTGACTGCTACTGCCGGCGGATGCTGCCAGTAACGCGCTTGCCGTCGCCGCGACGACGATTTTCACTCTCTCACTCTGCTTCAATACTATCGGTTCTGCTACGTATCTTGTTTTTTTTTTATTTATTTATTTTCTTTTAATTCTCGCTCAAGGTGACGTCTCAAACGAAGCTGCTGTTAAAATTCGGAACTCGAGCAAGGATCGGACAAAGTGCACACGATGGAGTTTGCGTGAAGGAAAGAGGCGTTGTATCGTAAGTGCGCCCATGCGTTTCTGCGTGCGTACACGCTCCCGCGAGCTTTTCTCGTCTTTCTCTCCCCCTCGCACTCTTCGCCCGAGTCGAGTAAGCGTGAGACGCTTCACTCCCTTGGAGCACGCCGTGATTATTATGGCTATGAAGATTCTTCTCCTAGTTAGAGTTTCTTCTATTTTTTCCTTTGCTTGCCCTCTGTCTGTCTGTCTGTCTGTCTGCCTGTCTGTCTGTGTCTCTGTCTCTGTCTCTGTCTCTCTCTCTCTCTCTCTCTCTCTCTCTCTCTCTCGCATACACGCGCGGTAGTAATATGGACTACAGCTTTTTAAGATTCATACAGGCATGACGACACTGCAATTATTCACGTGCTTACTTTATCTTGTGTATACATTAGTCCAACTAGTGTACATATATGTAAGAATTTTTATACTTGTCATATTTTGTAAAAGTCACACTTGAAGATTTGGCTAATATCGAATATAATTAGGGTAGTATCTTGAAAGTCATTGAATAGATCAAAAGCTAGTGACGAAATGCGATTATTTTCTTGCTCAAAGAAAGCATTGCACCTGATTTAACAATTTAACGATACTTGATGATGTCCTAACTGGAATAAATCATGACAATGGAGCTTGATTATCCTTGACAATTCGAACATAAAAAAAGAATAGTTCACATTAATAATTAATTTGAGTCAAAGCTAAATATCGATCGAAAAGTGTTTTTACATTAAAAAAATTCTATAAAAACACAGAATATCTTTATTGTGAAATGAAAGTCGCCTACAATTCACTACACTCGAAAAGCAAACTTAATATCTATTTGTAAAAGAATCACGTAGCCAATAATAAATCGAAATCCATTAAACTCATTTCGTTCTTATTGTAACGGCACAGCTGGTAAATCAAGTATTAGCGAGAAGAACGAAACAAGCAATAATCATAAGAAGCAGAGGGAGAGAAAGAGAGCCGGAAGAAAAGAAAGCACAAATCACGTTTCGAGAAACTTCATCGTGACTACACTCGCGGTGTGGCTACACTCCAATTAACCTCTTTTCACTCTCTATATCTCTTTCAACGACATATCTTTCCTCGAGTCCCAGACAAACAACAACAAAAGTCAGTAAGGTTGATTTTTTCATAATTTCATCTGATTTGTACAGTAGGAGCAGCGACGGTGCGGTGACTTGAGGGGAGAGAGAGAGAGACAGAGAGAGAATAGGATGAGGTGAAGCACGGAAATAACGCTTCAGGTGAGTGACTTTGTTTTCGTGGCCGGCCATTGTCGTCTCCTCGTCGAGTTTATTCACGGAAGAACGTCGTCTCCGTGGAATTTCTTTGCACGAACGTATACAGACGATCGCGTGCTGTGTGCGTGTGTAAGTACTGAAGCTTGGAAAATTGAATCGAGCTTGCGTTTGACGTGGCTGCTTGCGAAATAGTTTTCCGCTAGACCGATTCAATTATGTAGTTGATAAACTTGTCGAATAACTGCCACACTCCAAAGAGATCTCTTTTTTGTCACGGCGATGTCCTGTTGTCAATGGCAAATGCTGCTTCGTCGATGTGCTTTCCACGTAGGATTCGCACGGACGGAGCGGATAATTAAAAGTTTGCCGTGTTACAAGTTCGGATGGCTGCTTCATTAGAGAGAACGGAATCTTTTCATTACTCGATGTCCAGTCACTTTCTGGTGTGTATTTTTTGTCGATTACGAGTAGTAGAAATATCAAAATTGGAGTACGCCAAAACGTTGGAGTATATAAAATAAACTTTGTTCATTAAAACGACTGGCGAATATGTTTATGACAGCCCTTCAAAATTCGCGAGTTTACAAAGTTTGCGTGCCGCGAGTTAAAATCCATTTAGGACGTGAAGCTTTTACGACGAGCACGAGTAGAGCAGATCATAGAAGCGTAGCTTCGTAATTAGCTTCCTTCGTATAGGCTTAGAGAGACCAGATATACTTTTACAACTTTTTTTTCAAGTTTAAAATCCGCACGTAGCAGCCTATGCTAGAAGTCCCGCAATTTAATTCCATCTGTGAATAAAAAAAAGATGGATAAGCTAAGAGGGCGAAATGAAACAAAGAGAGAATTTCTTGATAAAATGAGAGGAAAATCCGTGTCGTTTTTCTTTTGCTCTTCTAATATTTACTAATCTATTGAGTCGTTAAAGCTCGTACTTTTATGAAGATTTTTATTTGCATGAGGTATTAAAAAAAAATAATCAAGGAGCAGGAAATTCCAAGAAATTTTAATAGCACGTATCGCTGGAAATTAAAATTAAATAAATCTCAATGCTATTACTTATTTACTAGAAATAGGAACAAAGCCAGCGAATTATATCCGTCACGTTGAAATTACCGACTACGTTAAAACAAAGATCATTGTAGATAGGGATAGCATGAACCATGTAGCCTAATTGGAGCACAGCAAATGATTTAATATCAACGCTTCGAACTGTTTGTTTTCAATTCCTCTTCAGAGCTTCAGTTATTTATAAATATAGTTTATATTTAAACGTTCGTGATTTTCATCGTCGTTGTACAAGTTCACGTTCGTCATTACTTTGTGTTGTTGGTTGTTGGAATCTCAATGTTACTTTAATTTCATTGCATTATGGTAAGAAAGATAACAAATCTATGGAAATTTCACTTCCACTTTCAGTGAAGTTAAAAAAAAAAGAAAACCCTGTAGAACGACGACGAAAATGTCGATCTTCGACAAATCCATTTATACTCGTACATCGTCAAGTAGAATCACGAACTTTTAAGCTTGCACTAAATTTGATTAAAAATTACAGCTCTTAAGAGTGACCGAAGAACAATCCACATGATTAGTAATAAATAATTTCCTGTGCTCCGATTGGGCTTAACACGGTTCATTCCATTCCATTCTACAATCATCCCCATACATATTGGAGCATCGCGCACAATTAATGAGTCCAACAAAGAAGCAGGAAGCAGATCAACGTCGGTTCGAAACTCATCGTCGCAATCCTATAGCGCGTACATCTCTAATTTTTAATGCAATATGCTACGTCCCACGAGACCGTCCACGAGCGCATTTCAGAATTGCAAAAGGCAGCCGCGTGCAATATGGATCAGGCGCGAGACGCGTGCCGCGCACATAATGCAATGCGCGATCTGAAAGAGCTGTGAAACTGCAATATAACTCAGGCAGGCTGCAAAAATCTATACGTCACCGCGCCACGGACAATGACATTGTCGCGCACCCTCCGATGAAAATTTAAATCCACCGGAAAGTTTCTCTCGCGGTAACCTTCCAGATGCCAGCACACAAACATGTAATTGATGTATTTCAAATTTTTAACGATATTAGCAATGCAAATAATATTCTGAAAGAAGATTGCAGTTGGTATTGTTGACTTCTGGGAGCTTCTTCAAATATTGGCACGCGAATATCGAGGAGTAGTTGGCTTTTAATAAGCGCCTCGAAAAATTTAAATAATGTGCCGATAAAAAAAAAATCGGACTTGAAAACGAATCAAGCAGAGCCGGACAAAGATTGCAAGTCGCAAAAGCGAAATAGAAAAAGAGGGAGATAGATTGTGAATGCGAATTGAGACTTGCCTCGTATTGGCGCGGCGCACGACTACTCGAGAGACACATTCTCCCAATGCAACCTGAAGCGTTGAATGACAGACCTCGGTGTGTGGGGAACGCACGCGAGCGCGTCGACTTTTGGGCTCTCCAACGGTATTTTCCTCTGTGAAATCCCGCGTGCAGCGCGTCTGACCAATGCCGAACCGGCATTTTCCCTCGTCGCCGTTCAATCTCGCGGAAAGAAGCTTGCTACGGTTCGCGTAATTTTTTCATCAAATCCTTTCTTCTCTTGTTGGCCACGCTACTTTCGAAAACTCACTTCGAACTCGATGTTACTTAATTGGCAAGCCGCATCAGAAAGGAAATTGAAGTGCAGCGTCCCAAACCATAAAAGCCGCCGCGGAGAGTGAAACAAATCTCATCGAGCTTCAGCAAAGTGCTTTGAGAAAGAGTTCTCTGTCTATCTCTCTCTCATTTCAAAAACCAACCTCGTCGTCGTCGTCGTCGTCGGGGCGGCGGGGGCGGCGGCCGACCCCATTCGCGAAGTACGCGACTGAAAGGCAGCTGGCGCGTTGTACGCGCTTCCGGCTTCCGGACTTACGCTCTACATTCATAACCTGGAAATGCCTACCTCGACTTATCACCGCGTATGGCTTGTAATAATGGAGCGATCGAAGGCACGTGTGTCGCGCGACGACGCTTTTAATTAGACCGAATCGGGACGGCTGCTGCTGGCGGCGTAGCGACGAACTCTGCTAATTTGCGAGAAAGCTTGCATCCGTCTTTTCTCTGCGCGCGTCAATTCAAAGCTTGTATTCAGAGCGTGTGTGCGCCGTGCAGATGTTGAGCTGAAAATTGAGCGACGTGGTTCTGCGATTTTCTGTTCTTTTTCAACGAGCCCTACGGAATGTACGCATGCCCGGCGAAAAACGTGTAAAAAATACTGTACTTAACGTGTTCGCCAAAGAGATTATCGTCTCGTGTGAGACAACAATCTGCTTTCCCGCACTGCTCAAGTAACGTGCTATTCCCACCGCGATTGGACTTTTACTTTCAGTCGTTCGACCGCGTTAAGATTTGGAACTGGAAGCCATGATTATACATTTCGAGTGCAATTTTCGTATTTAAAAATAAGCTGCATTCAACTGCAGAATTCTTTTCGTATCATTTTGATGCCGTATCACAATGAACAAAGACAAAATGAAACTGAATTTCGCAGGATGAAAAAATGAAACTAGAAATAGAAAACTGTTCAAGATGAAATATCGTCTTAAAGCTTTCGCTTGAGTAAGCGTCTTACTACCTAGTAGTAACGACCCGGACATACTCAGCTTCTCGACTCAAAGCTTCTCTATAAAGAAATCTCCTCGGGTCTTCTTTTTCAATCTCGTCGCACATTAGGTATTAAAGACCATCAAAGCTCGGCTACACACAGCATTATGGACTTAATGTAAATAACGTGTACTATATATAATACCATTATCAAAATTATAGGCCGTAATAAATTATCGTTCAAAAACAAATTACTATTTCCAACTAAGCATTATGCGAAACTTTGGTAGTTATGCAAGCTTCAATTGAAATATATCTCGCGCGAACGGTAATTCTAGTTTGCCTATACGAATATTAATCTCTGCCAGCAAGTTATTTCGATAACATGATCTGACAGGTGAAAATTTCAAATCAACAACTTTTCCATTCCCAGCAAAAATAATAAAATTCAGCCAACGTGTATGTATCTACTCTCTCGATGGATTATGAATTGAAGGAGATCTCCAACAGAACCATCAAAACTTTTCTCTTTTCCCTATCCATCATGTATACTACGAAAAAGTAGTAGCGTGAATCTACACAATGAAATTTAATCCACTCTCTCTCTCATTGACAACTGCAATATCGAAAATTCTAACTAATCGCCAAGTTGCAACATCCCTTCTACCCTCGGCATCCAGTAATCCATGGCATCAAACTAATCGCGCGAGTTTGGGGATCAGCCCTTCTGGACCAATTTAACGCGCGAATGAAAAACCCAAAGGGATCAAAGTGTTATCGCGAACTTGGAGCAACTATTTTCTCTACGTGTAGCCTTGCACGCGCTCGGTCGCGCGCGCGTGCACACACACACTCATACTCGAGTTGCTTTCCGAGACCCTTGCAGGTCTCGACAATAACATGAATATTCATGCAGTCGCGCGCCAACGTTAAGCCCCCTCCAGTTTTTAGCGATGTATTGCATTTTTCTCCCAACACCCTTCCGAAAAAAAAATCTTACTCGAAATTCCAAGTGGGTTTGCGTATACGTTAATGTGTATACGCGAGAGAGAGAGAGAGAGAGAGACAAACATTCAGCGCTTTTATTTATCTGGGTTAAATAAATTCATTTACATGCAAATCCCGAGGCCGAGCCTGGTGGTAGTGCGTTTACTCGCTTTGACCCAGTGAGCCTTTCCACGACGGCCCGCGGCTGGAATGCAATCTCTTTCAAATGAAATGGAGTTTTCGATTGAGTTTATTCTAGAGATCGCCGGCGAGAGAGAGAGAGAGAGAGAGAGAGAGAGAGAGAGAGCTTCCCAAAGTTTTTCAATTTTAAATACGTCCATCCGCGTGCCAACGGCAAATCAAGGTTCCAACGAAAAATCCATCACAGTGACAAATCAAGGCGAAGTCGTTGAAATACGCAGACAA